CTTATAGGAGAGAGGCGTCTGATTGGTCAACAACAGGCCAAAAATGATTTCTGCTTGATCAACAACTCATCGACCCTGGCAATGACTGGGCAACAACTGGTGATACGTAGAGTCATGTGAATCAGGGAGGTTTCTGATTGGTCAACAATATCTACATCACATTCAGCATGCATGAACACCGCCAGCTGCCCCATTCATACGTATGTTAAATTCACCTGTTAAATTTTAATATGACTGTGTGTGCAGCTCATAAATATACACACAGGACACACACGCCAACAGATACACATCCCTTGTGGCGAGCACTTTACATGCAAAATACATGCAAGTCACATCACATGCTCAGCGAGACACATGAATCATGAAGTCCCCAACCACACACACACAAACTCTTACACAACCCACACACACACTAAAAAAGGCCTTTCATGGTTATGTAAATGAATACTTCATCATACATAATCTTTCAGTGCATAAGCAGCGTTCATGTCAGACTGCTTGTGAGTTAAACACATTTAAGTCATATATAGAATATGGAAAATGCACACACACACACACACACACACACACACACACACACACACACACGCACAGGCATAAAGTGTGCATCTTCTAAAATGTAGTTAGATGATAACACACACCTATGATATAAGTTCAGACAGAATTTGCAGCGAGGATCAAACTCTCAAACTGCGTGAAGTTGGAGATGTCTAAAATTCTCCAAGGAGTTGGGGGAGAGAGGGGGGAGATAGGTTGGGGGAGCAGAGGGAGAAAATATGAAAGCAAAGTTGATGGCGGGTACAGGCCTATTTTTTCACCTCTTAGAAAATGCTCTCTGAAATCCCACTCGGCTCTCCAACTGAGTTTTTATTTTATTTTCTCCTTTTTCCCCCCAGTATTCGCTTTCTTTTTTTCCCCTTCAGCTTCTTCTTCTACTGGTTTTTGAGGCCGTCAGAGATGGCACACACACACACACACACACACACACACACACAAACACATATATCCCTCCTCATTCTCAAGCCAACGTGAGGCTTTTAACTCCAGAGGAGGAAAAAAGCGAGGGGTCCGGGCGAAAAGAGAAGCACAAGAAGAAGAGGAGGAGGAGGAAGAGAAGGGGGGGTTATGGGAGAATAGGCGACGGGGAGGGCAGGAGACATTTTCTGCTGATTAAGTAAGTGTTTGCTTCGGCTTCCATTATTTGACAGACGCATCAGAGCAACGAGCAACAAATGTGAAAGCCCGCCTCGCTGAAATATAGAGCAGGAGAGCGAAACAGAAGGAAAAAAACAAATCAGTAGCATATTTCGCCAAAATCCGTTCACTCCCTCGAGCGCAAGTGGTTTGTCGGTCTTCCAATGAGGCTATTTCAACGTGATGACAAACACCTATTCTGGCCAGGTGTCCTCCCTCACTGTTCTGGGCCATGTAATCCTCTGCTTAAATCAGTGTGTGAGCAAAGGATAGAGAGTGCTGGACGCGTTCCCAAACTCCCCTCCTCCTCCTCCGTCTTGGCACAGCATCCAGCTCCCCGCCAGAGAGGAGACACCTACGGGAGTCCTGTGGAAGTGTGTGTATGTGTGTGCTGCTTACACAACCTCACTCACTCACTCTCTCACACACACACAAAAGCTCTCGCTCTCGATCATACACAGATTCTGCAGGAATCATTAGCAAAACCAGCAGAGGGAATTTCACACGGGCAATGTGCCGGGCAAAACATCACTCAGAGCGTGCACCCCAGGGGTCTTCAATTAGACCCTAAATACCTCAGCGAGTATCCAGGGGTCCTAATTACTTCAGACTGCTGAAAATGGCCGCGGGCCGCCTAAGGCCGAGGGCTTACCGAGGATATGCCTGTTTAGAATAGATTCTGGCCCTGAGATCAGTCGAGTTTTTCTGTGTTGTTGGTCTACAGCATCAGACAGAGGAAGCGGTCTCTGTGCATCAGAGCCGAGGCAGAGCTGGCTGCTGCTGGTGGTGTGTATGTGGATGTATTTATAGCAGGAGAAAGAGAGACTACTGCAGGATTAATTCTCCAACCAGAAAGCAGAGAAAGAGAGAGAGAGAGAGAGAGGCAGTGGCAGAGCAGGGCCACAGATCAAGAGAGGAAGAGTTAAAGGATACATTTGCGCACTGGAGCGTACACGTACACATACACACACAGGGGGTGGGGGGCACAGAGACAGATCGATCTCACGAACATAACAATGCATTACAGAAGCGGTGACCTTTTCCTAAAGCAGTACAGATAGACATTAAAGGGCAGAAAGTATGACAGAGAACGTCCAAATACAATCCTTGCAGCCACGGTGGCGCATGTACACAGAGGAACATTCAGACATCATCACCAATTACCCAGCAGTCATTACAACACGTCCAAATCCTCATTACAATTCAAACTCTGTAAAACTTCTGTCGAACAGGACAAACTACAGACCTGATTCCCCTTGAAAAGAATTAGCCGCCATCAGAAAAAATTGAAAAGTGATGTCAGGAAGGACTTCAATGTGACCGAGTGCAACGACTCCAGAGAATGATCCGATTTCGGGGCAAACTATTTGTACAATGAAACCAGCCTGTGGCGCATTCATGACTGCATTTGCAACGTATATATGAATCTGCGCCAGCCGTCTGTGACGCAGTGCATCCACGCACTGGGCTGCGAATACAGGTCAGCATTTATTACACAGGCTAGGACGCACTATGCAGAACGGAGGAATAAAAGCTGCGAAAAGGTGTGAGTGGTTGACAGTGGTTTTACCGCAGATCCTGGGTCAGGTTTTTGCAATGATTTATTGGCATGGTTGAGCAGATCTGACCATTTTTAATAACTGATTAACTGTCATGTCAATTTTCAAACTAAAAAGCCAAACAAAAGTTCCGGCTTCTCTGTTGTAAGAATTTTTTTGCTTTTCATTTTCTTATGTGATAATAAATTAAGAGACTACTGGTCCGAGAAAAGATGTCACCTTGGGCATTAGGAGAGTGTGATGGGCATTTTCGACATTTTAAAGACCAAACAATACATTGAGCAAAGTTATTGTTAGTTGCCTAGTTCTTACCATTTCACTGCTATGGGAAAACAACCTGAAACTGTGACATTTAGAAATTGTCGCACATTCAGAGGTTTTTGGAATAACTGATCAACTATCGTATCAAGGGAAAGATTATGGTACACCTAGAGGCGCTGTACACCTTGGGAGTTACATAACTGCATAAGCATAATATCATATTGATGCAACATCCTCCATATTACTGTGTGGATACCAACACAGCTGGTCAAAAGATAAGATGACATTAACTTTATATACACTCTGTGACACCAATCCCAACTGGAACCCTTTATGTAAATCTGAGAACTGAGAGAAAGTTGAGCAATGTAAAGTATAGTGAAGCTAAACCAGAAACTACACCAATTAATATACGCCCCCCCTCCCCAATAAATGTCACTCTAGAATCTAAAGGCACTGGATAAAAGTCTTATCAAACAGGAATGTGTTGCGCCAATATGGGGGTCCCAGTGGGGGGGGGGGGATGAAAATGTGTGAGAACCCCTTACTCGCAAAATAGTATCATGGATCGTCTTTGCTCCCTGAGGAGCCAGGGGGGCCCCATGTGCCCCCGCTGCTAAAAAAAGTCTGTTTGTAAGACCTTTAAAGATTTGACATTTACAGACATGGAAATCAGCTGTGATCGCTTGGAGACTGACACAGAATAAAGAAGGCAAAGAAAGATGAAAGGATGACAACAGAAGAAAATTTAACTAGGAGGCGAGGGGCAAGTGCAGTGCGAGCAGCATCACGGGAAGAGGGAGACAGGCCTAGTTAGCATCTCAATTAAAACAGTGACAAATGAGGAAAAGAGAGGGAAGTTACGATGTGAAGCAACAGACAAGGCAGAAGGGACGGATGGATGGAGGGAGGAGGAGGCGTGGGAGGGAGGCAGACACAGGAGGAAGGAGCAGAGGTAATCCGAATGACATTAAAACACACACACACACACACACACACACACACACACACACACACACACACACACACACCACACACAGCACCTACAAGAAAAAAACAAAGGCTGAAACCGCAGAGCAGTATCAGCCAAGGAAACATTCCTTCCCATAGCTTCTCACATCCAGCTACCAAAACCTCTCTCTCTCTCTCTCTCTCTCACACACACACACACACACACACACACACACACACACACACACCTACACACACCTACACACACATGTATGTTGCCTACACACCAAGAGAGAAAGACAGACATTGAGAAACAGTCTCCATTGCCTCCTTTCTCTCCCCCTCCCCAGTCAGTGCAGGTCTGTACACTTATGAATCAATAATACACTTCAGTAGCAGGAATGATTCAATAAAGCTCTGTGACTTGAATAGACTCCCCCCCCAATGAAAGGCAGCCACTCAATAAACAGCCGCTCCAGGTGTGTATCAATAAACTAATTATAACACGCAGACCCTCGCTTTGTAGGGACAGTCATGCGAGGTCAATAGATTTTCATCACTCGTGTTCGTTATGAATAATCGATCTGAAGCTAACACCGGCTCAGAGGAATCAGAGCAAGGGTGAGAACACACACACACACACACACACACACACACACACACACACACTCTGTCAGGTGAATGTTGATGCAGCTCCAATGGGACCAACACACACATTTGAGTCAAACACACCTCAGATCATGTATTTTTTTCATAGTAAGTCATGAGGCTTGTTCACTGGAAAAAGAAGGTAGATCAAGACACACACACACACACACACACACACACACACACACACTCTGATATATGTCCAGATCTGTGTGTCTAAGCAGCCCATGTGCTCACTCTATGATACCCACCTGTGGTCATTCAGTAACCCTTGAGGTCAACTGGAAAAGCTGCTCAGCCAAGCAGGTGGTTCTTACCTGCCACAGGTGTTAGTGGGGGCACATTTGCGCATGAGCGCACTCGTATCTCAAAAGTATAAAAGGATATGGGTTGCAGACCATCTTGAGACACCAGCTCCGAGGCCGGGTGGTTTGGTTCAGGTAGAAGAAGACCACGGGGGCCATAGCGGGGTAGGGCAGGGTCTCCTCGCACGCCGACGCATCGTCCTCGGTTGTAGAGATCCTGTCAGGCGCCGGTGATGCCGGCTCCACCACCACCTCGGCGCGCTCCCCGCCTCGTATCCCGGCCCCGGACAGGTCGTTGAGCCGGATGAAAGTCCTTGGCAGAGAAGAGCGACCCTCCGAGCCCCTGGCGTCGGGGACCCCGGAGAGATTTCCCCCATCCTCGGCCATCATTCACCTCCTGCAAGCAATAGGCGATAATAAACATATGATTAGATACAGTAAATAGAGCTGACAGCCAGGGAAAGGCAGCCAGAGCACAGCGCGTTATTAACATTCCAGTGAATGTTACATTTAAATCTGCTGATATTTTATTTGGAAATAAAATCGACCAACTTTGCATATATAGTGAAAACCATCCTGCTGCACACATACTCACAAATACATCTAGATATTGTAAGAACAGGCAACAGTAGGCAGCAGTGCTGCTGGTGGAGGGGATATTTTAGGAAAATATGCGCACACCTCATCGAAAAATGATTGCATACATTTCTTTTTTTTTTTTTTTTTGCATAACAATGTAGTCAACGCATTGTTTGTGGTGGATACAGATTGGGTAAGTATATATTTGCTGCCACAAGCTGAATGGAGCTCCTAATGAGCCTCCAAAATTTCACGAGGGGCTCGCATTCCTTTTCATCAAAAACAATGCCAAAATCTCTCTCTCACCGGCAACAATAGCCCGCGATTGTTCCAATCCGTTCCCAAACTTCAGCTTCATCAATTAGCAATCAACAACACATTCATTCTGAAGTGATCCGCAGAAGTTCTTTTCTCTTAATGAGCGCAGCATCTTTCCGTTCGATTTTATTACCTGTAATGGACTCGGTAGATGTGCCCAAAGCGCGTTCAGTCATCGCATGATCAGTTTTTGTCGTGGCTGTAAAGTCCACACCAGCCTGAAGAAAAAAAAAAATAACCCGGTTGGTGAGAAGGAGAAAGGCGAGGAAGGGGGAGAGATAAAGAAGAGAGGAGCGGAGAGCGAGAGGAGCAGAGGAGAGGGGTTCTTGTGGGTTTGGTGCGTCTGGCGGACCGTATAGTTTCCAGGTGGTGCGCTGCAACAGACACGGTGCGCCCCGGTCTCCAAGCTTTCTCCGGGGGCCTCACCAGAACTTCACAACCATCCCCCGGTTGGAAATTCAAAAAAAAAAGCAACAGTGAGATGTGTGTCTACGTTCAGCCTCAGGTAAATATTAACGCCGCGCACAAACTTCTTGATGATTCTCCTCCTCCTCTTCCACAGAGCTGATGGACAACCCCCCCAAAAAAGAGAAATAAGGAAAATTAGTGAGCTATTCGTTTCCCCGCGTGTTCCTCTGCTGTCTTTGCCCCTTCAAATTAAGAATTTAGTACTTTTCGTTGCATCCACAGGCGGTTTTCAGCGCGTATCCCGCATCAGTGTTTTAAAGATCCATGGAGATGCTGCTGCACATCCCGCCGCTGAACACAAACTAGCGTCAAAGAGAAGCAGCCTCTGATATGTTCTAAATATCACAAACACCGCCCCTCTCCATTGTAGCACTCGTAAACGGGCCGGGCGCTCCTGCTCTCACTCTTGTCTCCTCCAGACTGTATTCGGTCGGTTCCGTCCATCAGAAAAGCTCACACAGCTGGATGGGGGATCCTAACTTCTCACTCCCCGCCCTACAGAGCGCCGTGCTCTGCACCAATCACAGCGCGGCCTGAGTTGGCGCTCCCTCCTCACTGGCCGAGCTAGGTGTCAATCCAGGTAGTACAGCAGGGAGGAGGGGGGGGGAGGGGGGGTGAAACAGCTGGAATCTTATTGTCAACTGTCAGCCAATGAGAGGCGAGGGAGCGATGGCATCCAGCAGCCCTGACGCGTGATTGGTGCGCAACTTTATTATGGGGGAAGTTTGAGGGGAAAAGTTGCCAGACTATCCAATGAGTAGAGAATGAAAAGTTAGTATGGGTTTTTAGTCGAGATAGAAAGTCAACAAAAGTCAAAGAAAAACAGGAATTCCTCATCAGCAATCATAGAAAAATAAAATGGAATATTAATAAGAATGAGACTTTTATTTTATTCATTTAGGTTACCAGATTTTGGGGACCCCAGGCCCTTGAGGAGTGCTCTGACATGTATGCTGGTGGCCACTAGGGGAAGATGTTTCCCCAGCCTTTTCTGCCTCTCACACACACAAACATACACACACCCACCCTCAGAGTACCTCCAGCTGGTTTGGTAGTAATACAGCCTGAGGCAGAGCACAGAGTTGTACTCTGTAGTTTTTAAGTGACAAAGTGTCTCTGAATTGCACTGCTGTCCACTGTTGCTCCTCTGTATTTTGTATTTTAGGCACTCTAGAAGCCTGGTGCACATGCACACAGCATATTGCTCACTACATAGCAGCGGCATACTTCATTTTCATTGCAGTGTATGATCATTGATCTGAGAGCAGGAGCAAATCAATAAGGAGGACCAATTTCTTTTTCATAGCATCTGTCGCAGCCATAGCGCTTGTGTGCAGTGGCAGATATTAATCACCTGGGCTGTACACACATAGCTTACTGTGAAGGCATGAAGACTGAGAATCACACGTGCACACATGACCTGAAAAAACACAGCTGCATTTGCACACGGGAGGAGGAGACAAAGTGAGAAAAAAGTGAGAAAAAAACACCCTCCGTCAATAGACCTTATTTGGGCTTATTACTTAATTGTGTGCTATCTTAACAGAGTACACATTAAAACATATTGATCCAGCACTGCTTGTACCTATTAGGCAGTACTGAGGCACCGGTCTGAAGAGAAAAAGTAGAACACAATTAAGTCCAGGTTCTGGGTGAAGCACACCTAAAAGTACAAATACAACATTCATTAATAATAAGCTATACAATTATGCATCTATTATTCATAAAATGGAATAAAACAGTGGCAATTCAACACTGAGTGCCCACCAACACCTCCCAAGGCGAGCTTTTATGAGTGGTTGATGAATGATGTTTGTTAGTGCTGGCCAGTTCGAGCTAAGACCCCAATTTATCAGAGCGAGTGATCTTAATTCTCAGGGGGAAACTTTCTCTCATGGCTACTCTGCAGGCCTGCAGACCAGCAGCGCTGTTTGCACAGACTCGCAGCTAATACATTACTGCTCACCTTCGGCTGACTGCACTGACAGCCCTTACTGACAGAGAAAGCCTGACACAGAGGAGGTTAATAAATCAGTGAACTGTCTGTCTTCAGTCGACAGAAGGCTCCGGTCCATATATATACAGCATTATGAAGACTTCTGGTCCAATGTGTGTGTGTGTGTGTGTGTGTGTGTGTGTGTGTGTGTGTGTGTGTGTGTGTGGGAAGAAAGGATGCAGAAAACATCTGATGATGGAAAAACATGGAAGTAAATGTTTGTACTTTATTGAAGATAGCCTACAAGGGGATCTAATGTAGGTAGGTTGATGGACAAACTGATTCATGGATTGCACTGTTTTTATTCTTTTACCTCATGAGTGGTTGTATTTGTCCAAAGCAATTCATTTTGCTTTGGACAAATACAACCATTCATGGTCTCCAGTTGATCCTACTGAGCTTTAGCTCTACTGTCACCATTAAGTTTTTGATTTTTTTTCTAGTAAAATGTCTAAACTATTGGATAGAATGCCATAGAAGTTTGTACAGATATTCATATTAAATGTTCATGATCCCAACAGGATGCATTGTAATCTTTTTGGTGAAATGTCTACTTAAATACTCAAACTAATAAAAATGTTTCGGCACTATATATTTGCTACGGAAGCCGAGAGCGGCCATGGATTATTTATTTTTTTTAATGCACTGTTATCTCGTGATAACGACCCATATCTCGCTATCTCGATATAACAAAGTTTGTTCGTCTTGATTGCAACCTACAAGAGCTGCCACGAACGGCTTCCAGTCAAGTAAACAAACTAACATAAAGTGTAACTTACTGGTAGGCTACAGCTATAGCCAGTGGCTGCGGAAGCCGATCGTGGCAGCTCTTGTAGGTTGCAATCAAGACGAACACATTATTAATTAATTAGTTATCATGAGAAAGGGATCTTTGTTATATCGAGATAACAAAATAAATGAATTCGTTATAACGAGAAAACAATCTTTGTTATATCGAGATAACGAGATAATAAGTCGTTATCATGAGATAACATTAAAAAAATTAAAATCCATGGCCGCTCTCGGCTTACGTAATTTGGCTAATAATGTAGTAATTGCCATGAAATGTCCTGAGCACATTTATCCATACAGTGGATAAAGTTTTTGGACTCTAAAAAACCCCGTGGTGCCACGCTCTGAACAAACTTAACACTTTTTTATCAGTTTTATCAGTTTTTATGGTTATGATTAAGTGGTTATTTTTAGCCATGCCAGCGGCGTGGCTTTAGGGATGCTAATGTCGGTCAGACGGTCCAGCACTTTGCTCCAGACTGAAATATATTAACAACTATTGGATAGATTGCCATGAAATTTAGTTTTCAATTTTATTTATGGTTCTGGTTCGCAGGATGAGTAGTAATAACTTAGTAATTCCCTGACATCTAGCCTCATCAATGTCTTTATGACACTGGATCTTTGACAAATGTTTCCTCAGTGTCATTGATCTTTGGGTCGTGTTAGCCTTTGCAGGCAGCGGGGTTGCCCTGTCTTAGAAAGACGACAAGCATTCATGTCAGCAAATGACACGGGATTCCAACGAGCTCCGTAATCTCTGACCTCTGACCTCCCCTGGGATGGGTCAAGGAAGAGACTCTGCCTGGAGAAATAAATGCCTGTACATTATCATTTTCATATAACCATACATGAATTGTTATTTGAATGAAGTGATGCCCGATAATGTGTATATGATTGCAGTCTATCCATGTTATTGAACCCTCATTAGTCCTGCTCCCTACAGGCTCTAGGAGTGAGGATTGTCCAGAAGAAGTAATTACTGTATTGATTATTCAGTCATCTTATCTCTCCTTGCTTCGGTGTTGTTCTTACAGTTAACCCTTTACAATACAGGACAGGAGGTTGTCCAGTCACTTGACACCTTAATATACCTCTGCTGTATAGAGGCAGATGAGTTCCTTTTGCAGCCCAGCACCCAAACAACCAGTCCATTCTCTTTCTCCTGTCACATAGCGAAATTAAAAACAAAAGATGACTCTTGTTGTCATGAAGAGAACCAGCAGCAATAAGTCAGTGATGCTTGGAATGTCCCAATCCATTAAAAAGGAGGGTTGGGTCAGGTTTACCATCACACACACAACAATCCCCTGTCATGTTTAACTATTGCAACATGTTTACTCAATTTGATTTTGGGAATGCTGTGATCAATATCAGTTCTAGAGAATCAGTGACATGATAATCAGAACTGTTTGTTTAAACTCCCAAATGTGCCACAGGACATTTAAGGGTTGTATTGCAGCATGTTTGGCTTTTGCCGCCTTACAGAAACTAGGATCCACAACTAAATCAAGGATTTACAAGTACTCAAAGAATATTTGTGTTTCCATCTCTTCAGCAGAGCTTCCTTACCACTGTATTGTGGGATATAGAACAAACACACTATTTTACATGCTGTTTTTTATTCATGAGATGTCTAGTAAGTACACTTTCCTAAGCAGGGAAAGATATCAACAAACCAAAATGGAAATAAGGGCAAAAACTGTTCAATTTAACTGACAGTGTGTTGATATATGTCAGGCTGGTTTGTTTTAATCAATAATATCATTTGAAGCTGAATATGATCTCTGTGGTTGCTGTGAAATCCAGGAAGTTGTTATTCACATATGTTGTTTAACTTGCGGTATTCATTCTCTGGATAAGCAGCCCATTTCTTATTTAGTGCCAGCAAACCTGCACTCATTTAGAGCTAGCAATTGATACTATTTTTCTATAAAATTAGTTTCACAACTGTATATTATTAATTGAGAATTTAACACCACAAAACTCAATACTGCCTTAACAGGGCTGTGTGGGTGTGGTTTGATCAGATTTAGCTGACACTGCACAACCCCACAGCTAGGGGTCTAAGAAAATCTTATTGACCCTGATTTGTATGTATTTGCATGTAGCCCGGGAAAACAAAGCGGGATTGCGATCTGATTTGTGATATGGCCAACGGAGACGCATATACTGTAAATGGCAGTGTCTAAAATCTCATCTGGTTTTTATCCACAAACTTGAAATGACATGGGTAAATAGGGCCATTTGTAGTGTCGGTTTTGTAGTATGAATGCATACTGTGATAATGGTATAGTCAAAGCAAATGGCACAGTATCATAAATATAAGAAACACAAGAACAGTAATGATAATATAGAGAATGCTGGTGTTCAGTATATCCTAATGGTGTGGGTAGGGACGTGGCTGGACTGTGGTCTCACTGCTGCTCAATAACAAATAACACACAACCAGTACACACACCAAACAGACACTCACATGGCTGGACGAAGCTGCTGGACGACACTGCTGGATGAAGCTGCTGGACGAAGCTGCTGGACGGGACAGGACTGGGCTGGCAACCAGGCGAAGGAGGTGATTGCTTCTAGTCTCACTTTTCTATTTATCTGCTGAATGATAAATAGAAGAAAATGAGCATGTCAGTTTATTTTAGCCCACATGCAAT